ATATGCTTTTGAGTCAATTCAGGGTTATATCCTCCAAACTGAATATTATCTGAAAAGCAATTAAAGGCCATGAAAGAAATCTTGGGCTCTGGAGCTAAATGAGTTGGGTTTAAATTTTACCATAGGAATGTATTAATTGCTAACCTTAGGTTTAGAAACTTCTTGGTGTGCTGGTTTCTTCTTCTCTTGGTTGATCTATAAATAGTTCTTATCCCATGGCACTTTGTGAGGTTCAAATGATGTAAAAGATACAAAGTGTTTAGAACATACGCTTGGTATTTTTGAAAGGATTAGTAACTGTTAGCTAACTTCACTGTCCTCATCAATATTCTAAGACTGTTATACTTTTACTTATTCATATGCTAGTCTTCAGTAGTTTTAATACACTTTGATGTTATTAAACAACTTCCTTTGGGAGGGGAGGAAAATTTTCCCCTAGAGAAACAAGAATTGAAATCTGATTTTAAAAAAAAAGAAAAACTGACAATAAACACTAAATCTCTCAATGATGCCAGACATAGAGCAAAGTCCTATATTCCCTCTTTCCATCTGGAGGCCAAGTAAGGCTTAGTGTGGTATTGCTCCACGCTGGAAAGAAAAAAAAAAAAAAAAAAACATGCTCAGTTCATGTTGATTAAAGCCATGAGTTTGTGGGTAAATACCAAGTTTAATCCCAGCTTCCTCTGACCTCACATCTCACAGCCAGTCTGGACATCTGATTCTGTGCATTTGGCTTTGGTCTATGGTGCTTTGAGGGCCTCAGCAGCTTTTCAAAACATGGCCTTTTTAATCTAATCATCTATGGGAGCAGAGTCACACGAAGATCAGCACAACCAGAGAACAGCCTGTAACCACAGCAAAACACAGGCAGTCCTGCTGTTGTGTCTCGACCACTTCCTAAGTCACAACTGAATATAGGGTCTTGGCTTGTTTAAGCCGCTGGACTTTAGCCTAGGAAGCACACTGCAGTCTTTCATTCTGCAGAAATTCACTTAACACATTTTATAATTAACTACAATAAAGCAAAGCTTTGGCGTGTTTGCAAATTATGGATTTCATTAATCTAAATAAAATGATTGTTCCCCCTAGAGTATGGAAAGCTGGCCCTACATCAATAAAATTATGTTTCTAATAACCATGTGTGCAGCAGGTGAAATCTTTATTATTACAAGTTGATAATAAAAAATTGACAAGTTAAAAATACAAACGCAAAATGTAAACTCAAATTAACTGAAATGTCTGAAGTTCACATTTGGGTTGTAAATGGCTGTAAATACATTCCTGCCTCCAACTCAAGGCACATGAATGGGGACTGTATTTTCTGAGTGCTTGAAATGCCCTAACAATATAATCAAAGTTTGCATGCATCTATTAAAGCAAGGAGGAAAGCAATTCAACATCTATTAGCATCATCTTTCAGTAGCCTACATTGTCATCACTTGACTATATACTTCCAAAAATCTCACTTTTTTAAAGAATTAGTAGAAATAGAGAAGTGTTATGCTTACACGTAATACATGAAAAGAGTAATTTCTCGGAACTGTCTGTTTAACCCATGCCCTTATGATTTTGAGTAATTTAATCCTGTATCTAGAAATGGTGTCACATAGAGACTTCAGTTTTGCCTCTACTTATCTTACACATCAGTTCTCCATGTAGGAGCTTTTTAGGTGCAGGGAGCAAAAGGAAAAAAAAAAAAAGAAATTTTGATTCAATTTATATGGAAAAGGTATTCAAGTTTGAGTTTTAAACCATAGTGTGTAAAAAGAGAAAGCACTTGGGTACTCCCATGAAAACTTGCACATCAACTAATGAAAATGCTATTCTTAATCAAATATATCCTTTAACTGTTTACAGAAGAAATAAAGTAGAAAAAATCTGAGATGGGCCTGAGAATTTTCTCCCAGCTTATGTTTTGAGCACAGCGATACATTTACACGGCATGAAGGAAATGCATACTGTGGAATATGGTTTAAGGAAATTCAGAACACTCTGGAAACAGGTTCCAAAACATTGTTTTTGTCACTTTACATGGCCTGTACATGTAAATTCCACTTATGAAAGTAACAAATATCTAATGGAAGGGAAGACGGAAGATTGCATAAAAAAGTCAAGTTAGAATTAGAATCTAGAGTGTGGTTAGCTTGGGCTGATAGCTTCATAAAGCAATCCAAAAATAAAACACTGGAAACAGAGTAGTGAACTACAGTATGCAAGATCTAACTGGCTAAAGAGAGAAGACTCAGGTGATATTTTGTAACACATGTTCATAATATTTAGGCAAAAAGCAAAACCAAAGAGTAAAGCAGTGAGAAAAAAATGAATTAAAGCCAAATTGCTTTACATAAGGGGAACTGATTCCTCATCCTCCCACATCTTGACCTTAAATATTGCAGCTTAGACCATGTATAATGTAAAAAGAGAAATCAAGCAAGTAGTGCTTAAGTGATGGAGAATGAGTTACACAGAATTTAAAAGAAGGAAACTGATATGGTTCAACCAAAAAATTAAAGTGAACACACGAGCATTTGATTTTGCATGTACTTCAAAAATTTCATAAAAAATTAAAGTCTAAATGTATTTTTGTGTAAAAAATTTTGAAATATGTGCATAACATTTTCATATATGCATTTTTCATGAATTTTTAAAGATTCCTCATGGGAGCATGCATTACTTCTACACTGTTCTCTTGTACATCTGTGTCCAATACCCTTGTCCTTTTAAGAAAGGATCCTCTTCTACACTTGGATACTCATAGCTTTAATGTCACATTTGTTCTCACCAGCATCTAGCTTGACATGTCTCAGATTGCTGCAATTTTACAGCAAAGACCCTTGGCTTAGCAATTCAGGAGTGCTGAGAAGTTATGCTGGAGGGTCCTTCCTTGCAATCTAGCTGGTTTGAAAGTCATAGCAGCTCTGAAGAAGCTGTGTTCATTGCCACAGGATTATACATGAGAAACTTCCAAATGCTCTCAATGTAAGAGACCAGAGGAGAGGACAGAAAGAAACAACCCTTCCTGGAAGGAATGTGTAATCGATGACAAGAGCCTAGGGTGATTACTGATGCCATAAACAAGAGTGTCAATTTGTTAAGTCAACAACAGGAGTCACTGT